GAAGAAAACAGATTATCTTCTACAATCAAAACTAAGACTCAGCTGCATTATATGAAACTTAAAATCACTATAAAATGACAAAAAAACTATAATGGGGTAGGGAAGACTTTTCTAGGCAATAAACAAAAGCCAGCTTTTAAATTTCTATATGATAAAAGATACCATAAACAATGCAAATTTAACTGACACAATTTCTTAAATAATTTTTTTTTAAAGAGACAGGGTCTTGCTCTGTTTTCCAGAGTGGAGTACAGTGGCATGATCATAGCTCACTGTAACCTCAAACTCCAGGGCATCGCAATCCTACTGCCTCAACCTCCTGGGTAGCTGGGACTACAGGTGTGGGCCACCACATTCACCACATTTGGCTACTTTTTGTTGCTGTTCTAATTTCTGTAAAGACAGGGTCTCACTCTGTTGCCTAGGTTGACTTCAAACTCCTGGCCTTGAGTGATCCTCCCTCCTCAGCCTCCCAAACTGTTGAGATTATAGGCATAAGCTACCGCACCCAGCCTAACAAATAAAATTGAAGCCTTTGGCTTAACATATAAAGTAAACGAGTGAATTCCCTTCCAGGTCCACCATGTGAAAGTCCACCATTAAGAAAGTCAATTACTAGCAAAAGAAGTAAAAAGTCAACTCATCTATCAAAATGTCCAGTTGCGGATTTTTTAAAACATTTTTTAGGCTGGTCGAGGTGATTCACGCCTGTAATTCCAGCACTATGGGAGGCCAAGGCTGGCGGATCACAAGGTCAGGAGTTCAAGACCAGCCTGGCCAACATGGTGAAACCCCATCTCTAGTAAAAAAATTAGCCAGGCGTGGTAGTGGGCACCTGTAATCCCAGCTACTTGGGAGGCTGAGGCAGGAGAATTGCCTGAACCCGGCAGGTGGAGGTTGCAGTGAGCAGAGATCACACCACTGCACTCCAGCCTGGGCGACAGTGTGAGACTCGTCTCAAAAAAAACAAAACAAAACACACACACACACATTTTTAAAATGAGGATCAGTCCTACTTTACAAGCTTTTTTTTTAAAATTAAAATTAGAGACAAGGTCTCTATGTTGCCCAGGCTGGTCTCGAACTCCTGGGCTCAAGTGAGCCTTCCACCTTGGCCTCCCAAAGTGCTAGGATTACAAATGTAAGCCATTGCACCCCACCTACAAGACTTTTTTTTTTTTTTTTTTGAGACGGAGACTCACTCTGTCCCCCAGGCTGGAGTACAGTGACGCCATCTCGGCTCAATGCAACCTTCGCCTCCCAGGTTCAAGCAATTCTCCTGCCTCAGCCTCCCGAGTAGCTGAGATTACAGGTGCCCGCCACTACACTCCACTAATTTTTTTGTATTTTTTAGTAGAGATGGTTTTTCACCATGTTGGCCAGGCTGGTTTCGAACTCCTGACTTCAAGTGATCCACCCACCTCAGCCTCCCAAAGTGCTAGAATTACAGGTGTGAGCCACCACACCCAGTCAGGATTTCTGTATTTTGGTTCACAATAAAATTACTTTATAATTCCATTCTATTGCTTCTGAGATTAAAAAACACACACACACATTTCCCCTTAGCCCTTGCCCACTGTATTAACTGCCAGTTGCTAAAAGTTTATTCTAAAGATGGAAGGCAAAGGAAGGAGACAGGATTGGCACCAATCCAGACTTAATAGCAACACATAACTGAGGTGTATTTAGTAGTCACATTTTATTCCAATGTCTTTCACCCATTAAAACCTTTCACCTGGCTGGGCATGGTGACTCATACCTGTAATCCCAGCTACTCAGGAGGCTGAGACAGGGGAACCTGAGTCCAGGAGTTGGAGACCAGCCTGGATAACAAAGTAAGACTCACTCTGTCAAACAAAATTCACCCACAAACACCTTTTTTTTAAAAAAAAAAAAAAAAAAAAAGTTATTCTAAGTTACTGAACAAGAATCATATCTGAAATAGAATCTAGAAATGAAAAACCTTCAGGATGGTATATGATAGACATTGTTAAATGATAAAAATAAATTATCAGATAAAAACTAAAGCATACTAAGGCTAAGGCCAATTTTTTTTTCTTTTCTTTTTTTTTTTTTGAGAGAGAGAGAGAGTCCAGCTCTGTCACCCAGGCTGGAGTGCAGAGGTGTGAACACAGCTCACTGCAGCCTTGACCTCCTGCCTCAACAAATTCTTCTGCCTCAGCTTCCCGTGTAGCTGGAATCACAGGTGCACACCACCACGTCCAACTAATTGTTTTATTTTTGTAGAGACGGGGTCTCACTTTGTTGCCCAGGTTGGTCTCAAACTCCTGGCCTCAAGCGATCCTCTTGTCTCAGCCTCCCAAACTGCTGCGATTACAGGCATGAACCACTGTACCGGCCATAATGTTTTTATACTTGAACATTGCTCAGGACAAAAATCTCAAATAATTCAGAAAGATTTTTATTTATTCAATTTATTTATTTTACGTTTTATTTCAAACAGATATTCACTTCCTAAATAAAACAGAACACGTTTTGGGTTTTTGTTTGTTTGTTTGTTTTGAGAGAGTCTCGTTCTGTTGCCCAGGCTGGAGTGCAGTGGCGCGACCTTAGCTCACTGAAGCCTCTGCCTCCCGGGTTCAAGCAGTTCTCATGCCTCATTCTCCCAAGTAGCTGGGATTACAGGTGCACACTTGTACCCAGCTAATATTTGTATTTTCAGTAGAGATGGGGTTTTGCCATGTTGGCCAGGCTGGTGTCAAACTCCTGACATTAAGTGATCGGCCGGCCTCGGCCTCCCAAAGTGCTGGAATTACAGATGTGAGCCACAGAGTTCAGTCCAAGAGTATGTTTAAATAAAAGAAATGCAGTATTTTTATGGAGGTTTTGTAAAGTTTTAAAGACCTACTACATGCAACTACATACAATGTAGGGCCCAAACAAATTCAAACTTCAACATATTTTGGCCAAAATGCAAAATTTCCACTCAAAAAAAAAGTATACTTACGCACTTTACATTCCTGTAGATTTTTAGATGAACAAGGTTTTTAGATTTTAGATGAACAAGATTTTGACCTTTAAGCTGATTTTAAACTGGTATTTAAAAAACCAAAAAGGGAACTCAAAATTACACAACGAAATGTACCCTCCAATCCAAAACAAAAAAATATTCACTGGGATGTAAAAGTAACCATTGACTATTCAAATTACAAAAGACAATGTTGCAACTGCAACATCCTTCTCTCTGTTTCAACCAGTCCCCTTGTATTCTCCTCACTGATTTAACAGGAAAATGAATGTTTAAAGCTCCAACAGTGGTGAAATTTTCATCAGCAAGATGCGCCTTTTGCATTAATTCTACAGCACCAAGGCAGTTATGTGCACACACTAGACTTAAAAGCCATAAGATTCATTTATGAATAAAAATAGGTATTAGTTTAAAGACAGCACAATAGATCAGGAGACAAGTGCAGCTGCCTTACTATCAAAAAACAAGCCCAGGCCTCACAAGTTTCTTTATTTTGATACAAGTTTCACTATCACTCAACAGACACAATACTCTCAAAAGTAAAGCTCTTCTTACACATACAACGTGTGAATGAAGACTTCTGAAATATTCTTTTCAAATGCTACACAAATCCTCATAGTAACAGGATTATGGAAAAAAACATAAAAAATTAAGAATATGAATAATGAAACTTCTATTTCTTGGCAGTCTTCCCTCTACTGCAAATCTAATTTGTCCCCAAAATGTATATAAGATGTTGAATTTACTGAAATTTTGCTATCTCTTCCCAATTTGCAGCTAACAATAATTGGAATATGGGAAACAACTCTTGAAAACCTCTAATATTTTAATTAACATAGAATTTATGTTACAATCGAGCTTAATAAAAGTTCACTATAATATTCCCTACAACTTTAATCAGTATCTTGCCCTCTCATTTTATATTCAATGATTCCTTTATTTCAAAAACAAAGACATCACATGGTTTGTGACCAACCCCAGTAGCTAGAAGTATTTCCAAATCACTTCTCTCAACTTAAAAAAAAAAAAAAAATTAATGTGAAACAAAGGGAGCTCAGAGCTACACCTTCTAAGAGAAAAATGCTGTGATTATTTCACTTAAAAATAAATAGCTGAGTCATAGTAACAAAATTTCACAAAAAGCTTTCTAAGGTGCACTTTAAAAATTACTCCACTTGCCACACTGTTCTGGAAATCAACCTGCACGCCTGTCCTAGGCAATCTATTTGTGTCTCTTGAGTCCTTCAATTATGCAGAACATCAAAGTTTCAAAAACGAATCGCAACAACAGCTATCAAAGGAAGTGGGTTTTGTTAAATAAGCAACAGCCCTAAGCTCCAATAAAATTAACACCCCAAAATCATCAAAGGGCAAAGGCAAAAAGCGTTCTTAAATCTTCTCTAAGTAGCAGTGCCTTAGTTTTACAATTCTTTTCCTAGCTTTTCACTGAAAGGAGAATAAGAAATTCAATTAACAGTGTTAAGGATGAGAACAGTTAGTTCCCAGGCAGAAGATGCAATTTACAATCCAGGTTTGGCCCAGACATCAGCGGGCACACACACGCCAATGTTCAGAGGAAGCTTTCAAGAAATGTCACTATCTAACGGAAGTGTTAAGGCCTTAGATGTGTAAGGACTATGGCCAGCCCTGTAAAATGCAACCTAGAAAAACTCCATTGTCCAAAACAACTGAGAGTTTCCTACCATACTCAAAACAGAAAGAACCTGTGTCCTGGACGGCCACTCACACGGAAAGAAGGGCAGCCCATGTGAGTCGTAGTGCCCCCCTGTCAGCTCTGTGACAGATCCACTGGGAGCATCCGACTGTGATCCGGGCCCTCCAAGGCAGAGGCTGCTGGAAGAGGAACACACAGGCAATCTTCACGGCCCTCCTACTTCCGTTCTCAAAACAGAAATGCACTTTTCTCCTAGTCCTCCGCCCTCAGCCCAGTACCCCTCGACAGCTGCGCCCCCTTCAACGAGCTTAAGTGGAAAGAAAAGCAGGTAGTCACCCACTAGGGTCCATGGACCGCGGTTGGTCACAGCGCTTCCCCCCGCGATTCCCCCACGCACCCACCGCCGGCGCCCTCCGGAGAGTCGCTCTGGCCGGGGGCACCGCGAAGCAGAAGCCGGCGTCCCAGTTCGCCCCCTACTCCCTCCTCCCCGGGGAAGCGGGGCAGAAAAGCGCAAAGAGGAACTAAGTGAACTGCAAGAGGATGCCCTGAAAGCTCCCTCAAAGAGGGGGTGGGGAGGGGGTGGAAACCAAGAAGGGGCGGAAGGAAGGGGGAAGGAAGAGCAGCCAGAGGAGGAAGGGGGCGAGAGCGAGCGCCCGAGAAGGGGACGAGACTTCGGGAGCGCGGCTGCACCCCATTTGCCCCAGCGGGAGCGGGTGCGCCGGCCTTCGGGGCGCTCCGGCCCGGCAGAGGGCGAGGAAAGAAATGAGGAGGCGACGTCCCCGTCCCCGCCACTTCCTCGCCCCTCGGGAAGGTTCGGTGGGGACTGCAGTGCCCTCGCAGGCTGGAAGCGGCGGCAACGGC